TGAAACAAGGGGAAACGCGTTTCGGGGAGGCAGAAACGCTGCCTGCGCTTGGGCGCGGGGCCGGGCGGGGCGAGGGCTGTGGAGAGCCCCGAAGTTTATACCGAGTTTGGTGCCGCGCTTGAGGGCGGATGCTCCGGCGCCAGCCAGGCTGCTCAGCCTCGCCGCAACAGGCAGGGGAAGTGCAAAGATGACCTGAAAACACGCGTGTGTTTAACGCGTGCCCCCGTCTCCTTCTCGACGGGGAAAGGTGGAGGAGCTCGCAGCGATCTCTGTGCTGGGGTTGGTGGGTCAGCACGCATGCTGTCTTTGAAAAAAAACAAAAAGAAACCGAAAACAAAAAAAAAATAACTCCAGCCCTTTAAAAACGTGGGAACAGGTGTGATTTTCTTCAAGCTAATCCTTCTCCCTTAGGCAGATCCAGCGTTTTTACGCTGCTCCAGGTTGGTGCAGAGAGGTCAGAGACAGGTTGGAGATCGCACGCAGCCTTCGTTAGCGTAGCTCTGAGTCACTCGGCAAGGGACAAAAACGTCTCCGCGATAACTACAGCGGCAAAGTTTGCCTCCTGCAGTCCCCCGTCCCTCACGTAATCAGCTGTAGTTGTCAGCAGGCTGGTCTGTTCTGGTGTAATCAACAAACTGGGGCAGCTTCAGACAGTTCCAGGCAAAAAGAAAGCCATATAGCAGGAAAAACGCATCTGTTTTCAGCAGCATGTGGTGAACCAATAGTCTTCTAGGTCATTAAACAAAAGCAGGAAGGTGGGTGAGAAAGTACCAGCTTCCTTTCCTATCCATATAAGCGGTCCTGCTAGTGTGCCCTCTCTAGAATTATGAAAGTATTCCACTTTAGCTGGTCACACACCTTCTTGCTCCTGTTTGCGAAGACTTTGCTCTACAGGAGGGCTGCGAAATAAGTGTTATGTCAGTAAACAAATGTTCTCATTATATGATTCAGATGCTGATCACCGCTCTAGCTCGTTTTCAGCTGTGAGGCTGGCTCGCCTGTACAGCACGTCCCTCTGAGATTCTTTAAAAGTCTGCACAGCACTGTCTCAAGAATAGCTCTAATTTTTGGGTGATATATCTGTGCCATGTTTATGGCCCTTTATTTGTAGCTTCATTAGCAGCTGTTGCGGGTGATTTCTTGAACTATTTTGGGAAGGTGGTAAACAGTGTGTTGTATGTTAGGGTCCTTGCACCAAACACACTTGGCATCCGTGTGCCAAATGTAAGAATAGCCAAGGAGACAACTGTGCCTTTCTTACTGCTCTGGTTCTCTGCAACAGATTCAGGCAATTACTTGCTAAGTTACTGAAGGCATTTTCCTGCCACGAACTTTTTCTTTGGGTGTTTGCACAACAGAATCTGTATGATTGCACAGTGATGTGTGATCTCGTGTTTAAATAAGTTTGACTTTTTTAAGCATAACCGAAACGGAGAACGTCTACTCACGTCTTGATCTGTAAACTAGTTCGTGTGAGTGGACCCTAAAGTCCTGCTGAGTTTCATTAAAGTGGGACTGTGAGTGGGCATAAGGGGCCAGTCAGTAGGAGTCAGCTTGCAAAACTGAGGCTGTAGTCTGCTACTTTATGGGTGTTCTTTTTTTACATGAAGGGCTGTATCATAGAACCACAAACTGTGTCTTAGTCTTTCTAAAATAGACAGAAAACTTGTGTTTATGTAAGACTGCTTGAGCTCATCTGCAGCTTCCATAAAAAAAATGTTTTTAGAATTTGGAACATAAACCCAAGTGTTTTTGCCTGCTCTTTTCTTAACGTTAAGATTTTGGCCACGCATCAGGCTTAATTATGGAAATTCAGTTGTTGTCTTCATTGTAGTGGAACCGCTGTCGTTCTGTATTAACCAGCCCTTCAGAAGTTTCCCTACCCGTTACAAAAAGACAGCTGTAAAGATGCAGTCTTAGCCAAAATGCCAGAGGTAACAGCTTGCTGAAAACATCTCTTATCTTTGTTTGTGAGCTGAGTTCACCTTTTCTGTGTTACTGTTCTCACTCCATCCTACTAAGGTGCTTTAACTGCCCCGTTCCTCTTGGGCTTGAAAATGTACAAAACGTTTAAGCTGTGTTTCTTAACTGCAGGAAGTATGGAGTTTCCTTTATTTCTTTTTATTTATTTATTTTTTGTCTCCGGATGTTGTGGTTGCCGTCTATGGGGATCACTCCACCATTCAGTTCTTCTGCCAGCCTCTGTTCTGGGGAGCCTCCCCGTTCTGGAAATTTTCTCCAGGCTTTGTTTCTCCCACTACTCAAAAGCTTTCCCAAGCGAGCAGTACAGCTCTTTGAAAACAGAGCCACCATATAGCAACTTCATATTCATGAATTAAATAGTGTTAACATAAATGTGCTTGTTTGCAGCAGGAAAGCACAGTGCACGGACAAAGCTGCATAAATCTTGGATTTATTGTAGGTGTTCTTTCAAAGAGAATGGCATGACTTATTTTTGAAACTCTGCTTGAAATGTTTTATCTGCATTGTATAGTTAATACTTAGACGGAATGACGTTAAATTGAGAGTGAAATAGTCTTTGTTTGTGTGGCTTAATGCACTTCTGAGGTCAATTTTCCTTTTTTTTCCTTGTTGTAGGCAACTAGTGAGTTTCTGTGAATCTTTCTTGCAATGTGAGCATAGAGATGGAGAAGTTATAAACTGTGACCACACACCATGGCAAAGTCATTCAGGACAGGCGCAGTAAGCTGGCTAGATTTCAGGTTGTATTTACTGTCATCATTCTTTATTCGTTTACTTTATGCCTTTTAGTAGTACCTGGGTTAATTTTATATCAGCATGATAGTTAATACTGCCCAAGACCGGCAGGGTCATGGCAAGGGCTCTTCTGTATGTATTGGTTGTAAGTGCGGTGTGAGAAATTCAGCTTCGGCTCGGGGAAGTGTATAGAGACACCTATGCCTACCGTTTGTCTTTTTGAAGTGTTATAGCCTGGGGGGTGGGCTGGCCGTCTCTTGTGAAAAGTAAAGAAAGAGAGCATAACCCATTGTATCCAGTGGTGTTTTTAGAATTTTCTTGTGATTTTTTTCCTTCTAAGAAGAAGGAAAAGAATTATTTCGGCAAGAATTATTTCAGATTTATTTTCGGTGGACTGTTTTGCATGCTAATTGTTATAAGAAGTGCAGTAAGATCGAGGCTGTGCACGTCTGACAAAAATCACACCCTGTATCTGTGAGGGGGAGAGCGAGAGAGACTGGAGAGCTGTTAAGATTTAATTATGGAAATACAGCCGCAATTAAGCGTGAGTATTGCGGAGGTCCTCCGGTAACGGAGTCCCCAACATTCTTTTCATTAGCGATATGTTGTATGTTCAAATTCAGGCCGGCTTCTTGATGTTAATTTCCTGCCTGGAGACTATTTTTTTTCTCCCCAGGAGTTTACTCCAGCCTGTCATATGCATAAAATCTTGGAGTACTCTTTGTAAGCGTACTGGACTGCTTCACTTTATGTATTTGTAGATGGCAAAAGCCAAAGACAACATAACTGTGATATCTAAGCCTGTCTGAATTCTGTATGTTATCATTTATGATTAGGAACAGGGACTTTTTGTGACAAGGAGTTTTGCTATAGCCAATAGATAGAGTAGTGGACTCAGCTGTTTCTGTCTTCAGCTCCTTCAGCATTAATCAGTTCCTATGGATTAGGAAGTGCTTTTTCCTGATTACTTCTCTCTAATTATGAACAGGCCAGGTGCCAGGAAGTAAGCCAGGTGACCATAGAAAATCTAAGGTTAATATGGTAAGACTGAGGATAAAGAAATATTTAATGGATAATTTGAGATACTAAATTCTGTGCTTCTCTCAGTTTACGTTTTAGAGGAACATCTGTACTAGTTCATCCAAAGCCACATTTGTTTCTTGCTAAATTGAAAGGCTGTAGATGCATACAGAAAAATTAGTTACATGATGCAATGCAATTAAAATCAGAGCTATATAAAGAAATGGAAATGTTTGCTTCAGAGAAACCTGCTGAAGAAGTTTGTAGGAGCTGTTTGATACAGTTGCTGAAGCGTGTGGTGAGTTTTAATTTGTGCAGGCTTTCACGGATGTTTTTATCTTCCCTCACTGGTAAGAAGTTAATTTAGTCCCAGAGATTGGACACATCATTCAACTTTTTCCTGATGTGATGGACATGATTTGGGTAATTGGGTTTAACCAGACTCCATGCCTATTAATCCAGCTTTAAAAACAAGAACTGCCAAATTACCACAGTTCTCCTTGTGGGACTGCTGAGCGTTGTGTTTCTTGGCCAAGTTATTTTTGGTGGTAGCCGAAGGTCAGAGGTACAGTAGGCATGCGTTACTCTGTGGTAAACAAGAGGCAGTACAGCACACTTTGTGTAATTTCCACGAGGACTGGTGGAGTGGGGACACACAGGAAGAATGAATGTGCTGGGTTGAGCAGCTGGACTCTAATTGCACCACATTCCTCAGGCTCACACGTTGCCTCTGGCTTTCCTACCGGCACCTGCATTGGTGTTGTGTTATGCTTCAGAAGAAAAGCAGATATTTTTGGTTGACTAAGAAGGCAGCAGCTAAAAGCTTTGTTGTAATTTTAATGCTAATGTCATCCAGAAGGGTGATTACACACTTTATAAACCTAAAGTTAATCTCCAAGCTTTCAGATTTCAGCACTTTAAGGAAAGAAATGAAGCATTTTTGAGGTTTACCTTAAATCAAACCCAGAGAGCTAAGCAGAGAGGGAGGCCCCAGATGCCATCCTGTCAAGGCTTACAGCGTAATTCTTTCCAAAGAAAAGCTTAAATATCCCTGAAATAAAGACTTGGTTGATTGTATGTGAAATGGTACACCTCTGTTAGGATGAAAACATGAATTCTACATATTCCAGAGAGGAATATAGTGAATTCTTGTTCCATACCTGGGCTGACCCATAGACACGCTTCTGCGGTTGGCATTTCCTTCATGGCAGACATGAAGGAAAGTTGAGAAGCCATATCCTGTCAGACCACAAAGTACATTTGCGATTTTTTTTTTTAATATTGTCTAACACTCTTGGCTGTCTTTCTTGCTATTTACCTTTTACTGTTAGCTTTCTGGCTTCATGCTTCATTGTAATTTCTCAATACGAGTTGTTTGTTCACTGTTTTCTTTAAGCGTGTTTCTCAATGCATTCTGGAACACGGAGGTGAGCGGAGCATGGCTGTTGCATGTTCAAGGGTGACAACACAGGATGATTAATCTAAAAAATTTCCCTTCTGATCAGTTCTTAACAGTTTCCAGACATCCGATGAAGTACAACTGAAGCTGGCATTTGGGTCATGGATTTGTGATGACTGCAAGTGCTTAGCAGAAATAAGTAGCAGACAATGCAACTTATTGCTGTTTCTGATATAAGCAAGATTTGGATGTCATGTAAAAGTATTGAGAGATTATTATCTAGTATGGCACCAATAGTAAATAAAGTGCCAGACACTACCAGGTTAGAAGGGAGAAAATACAGGGCATAGTATATGAAAACCTGCATTTCTCAGTACCAGCGTGGATTCAATTAATACCATAGGCTCTGAGCCTATGAAATGGCACAGTTCAGACTTTGTGCGGTATACTGACAAAGTACTGTTAATGTCTCCAATGACTGTAAGTTCTTTTAGTATATGTTTTACTTAACACCAGAAAATACTGGTATTGCTAAGCTATAAATCTTTTAGAAATAGCAAACAGTTAAGGGTAATGTTAAGAAGTTTTGATAATACAAAAAGCTGGTGTTTCCTCAATTTATAGGCTTTGTTGCTCTTCTGGTGAGAAGGAGATGCTCTAGAATTCTGCAAAGGTTTTATACGTTTAACCATTACTTCCAAAGATTAAGACAAATAATTGAGATTTAGAGAATCCCTCAAGCTTCAGTCTTTTTAATGTTTTAGATAACTTACAATGCCATATTGTACAAGATAATCAATGCAAACATTTAATCTTTCCCAGGTTTTCAGACAAGAAAGAAAGGCTGATGCATCTTAAAACCAAACAGAGAGAATTCCAAAAACAGTAAGTTGAGTCAATAAATGAAAATAAACTATAAGAATTCTCAAAACACAAAACATTCTGATGCACTGTTGTTGGACATATATATCGTCCAGATAGTCAAATAACTTTCATTTCTATTTCTTCCTCTAGTGTTTTGAAGGCCATGGACGGGAACGTGATAACAGATAAGCTGGAGAGCTGTTCAAAGCACTCCAAAGTTTTTAAACTCTCGGAATTCCTAGATCTCATAGACTAAAGTTACTTTTTACCTTGGGGGCATTGTATTGCTTTATCAAAAAGCCTGTCGTAAGCAAAACTGAAATTGGCTCTACAAGCAGAGTGCTCCAAACCACCAGAATTGTTCACTTATTAGGTATTTTTTCAATAACTTTTTATGTTGCCTGACTTTGTAGTAAGCGTTCAGCGTATCTGTGGCATTCATCTATGCACAGAACAGTATACAAAATATTTATTTATTGGTCTGGTCCAATTAAGAACATCCTGCTACTTTTGCACTATAGCTGCTGGCTTTGCTCTTAATCATTAGCCAGTGTGTTTGAAGTCGTTTGTACCCTAGAATTGCTGAACGTTCTTTTTCAGAGATGGAAAATAATGTCTTGCAAGATGAGGATTGAGCAGCTGAAACAGACCATTTGCAAAGAAAATGATGAAATGACAAGACGTGAGTAATGCCTGTGCTTTTGTGATCTGTAAAACCCCTGTGCCTTGAAGACTGAAATATCAGTTGATGTGAATCTGAATGTTAGTGTTAAAAATGCTGAATTTCCAAACTGTAATTTCTTAAATAAATTTGCAAGCAAATCAGTGAGTGACTTTAGTCATTTTATGCTTGGGTTTTAATTAACAAACAGTAGACGTATTATTCAGTTGGATGGAGATCATTTTGCAAAAGCTTAAAATGTAAGTGCTTAGCAGTCTATGACTTCAGCTTTGTCTCTGTAGTTGTTTTCTTCAGTGATGTGTTTCTGATCACTTCCTTTCGATAAAGAGGAGTAAACAGCTCTGCAGTTAATATGACTTTCATGTAACTGATGAACTTTAACCCACGCCTTTTCAGAAATCCTAAAATCCTACTTGAGCAAGACTCTCACTGAAATATGGCATAGGCTGGTGAGTTGCTATCACTCAGCAGCCTCGTTTTTGAAACTCCTTAAATATTTTACGCACACGAGAGATTTGTAATGCCGTCTTTCAGAAGAGAATATGCAGCACTCTTCTCAACCTGCACACAAAGGAAAGATAGGAAGCATATGAAGGCACATATTGACTGAGTCAGGAGAATTTAATGACTTGAAATTCAAGCAGAGCCTTACAGAAAGTTGGAAGCACAGGCCTATATAACTGAGAATGTTTATAAAGGAGTAGCAGTAGCTTGCAGCTGTAATATCAAAAAGATGAAAAAGATTGAGGTGCAAAGTGACTTTCAGTTAATGAGGAACATGGATAGTAACAATAAGAAATACATAATAAGAGCAAGATGAAGGAGTGGGTGAGCTTGCTGGTTAACAGGAAAGACAGCAAATAACAGTTAATGCAGAGAGTCTGAAATACTCACTGCCTTCTTTGCTTCATCTTCACACAAAGAAAATGTGATCAGGTGCTTAACCAGATCAAATTTTACATCATGAGAGGACCGTAGGACAAGGAAAGAAAACAGCCGGTTAAATATTATTTTGATTATGTCAGCAGGGCCTTATGAGATTAACCTTAGAGTACTGAAGGAGCAAGCTGAAGTAGTCTGTGGAACAGTTGATCTCATGAGGGAGAGAGGGTATCCTGGGAAACAGAGTGAAAACAGCATCTGCTTTCAAAGGGTGGAGGAAGGGAGAACCTTAAACTGATGGCTCAGTCATCCTAATATAAACCTCTGATCACCTTGCAGGTGTCTAGAAGATAAGGTAATTAAAAATAGATATCACCCTTTGTTAAGAATAGATCTTGTCAAATCAATCCCCTTCTCTAGGGGGTCAAGTGGTCTAGTGAAGGAGGAAGCAGAGGATGCAACCTACGTTGCCTTTGGACGCTCCACAAAACTATCTCACAGGCAAGCGAAGAAATATGCTCTGGATGTAATCGCTGCAGGGTTGACACACAAGTCTAGAAAGGCTGCGTTCAAAGAGTGGTGATACT